AAGATGCGGTCAGTGACTGAGATTTGTTCGTCATCCGGTCGAACCATTTAAGATGATAAGAACCAAAATAATAACATTTAAATAAAGAAAAACACTCTTCCAATAATACAAAATAACCAAAAAAGTTCTGTCCGTTTTTTGATTAGTCATTGAATGAAGTTTAAATATATACGAAATGCGTGTAGGAATTGTTTTCAAATTCGGACAGCCGGAAGTAGGGACATCAGACGTTATAAAAAATCACACGCACCGTGCCCGGCCATCAGTTATAAGCCGGACAGCTGTGAGAAGGATGGAAGTGTCTAGAGATCTCGTTTGGGGCTGTTTGCTTTACGACTTCAAAGTGGGCTTATCAGCGGCTGCATCAAGTTGCCAGATATGTCAAGCGTTTGGGGATAGTGCTGTGGATGAACGTACTGCAAGGCGTTGGTTTCGAAAAATTAAAGTCGGGAGATTTGTCTCTCCATGATGAGCCTCGCAGTGGATGACCACAGGTTTTGAATGACGGAGTCCTGAAGGCGGCCATTGAAGATGACAGTAGTCTAACGTGTGGTGAACTTACAAGACAGTTCAACGTTTCCGACGAAACAGTTCGACTTCACCTGCACCGCCTAGGTAAGACGTACAAACTGAGCAAATGGATTCCGCAAACGCTGTTGGAAGTCCGCAAAGGAACAACAAGTGGCAGCCTGCGTATCGCTGCTTTCTCACCACCGTACCACATCCTTATTCAATCGAGTGCTTATCAGTGATGAAAAGTGGGTTCTGTACGAAACTCCCGAGCGTTCCAGACATTGGTTGTTTCCTAAGGATGCTGTCCCTCAAACCACAAAACCGCCTATGCTCCCACGCAAGATTATGCTTTGTGTCTGGTGGACAGGTCGTCAAGTGGTTCATTATGAACTGCTACCAACGGACCTATACTCGCAGCAACTGAAACGTGTGCAACAGGCATTGCGCCGGAAGGAGCCTGCACTGGTGAATTGCAAAGGTGTGCTTTTCCTCCATGACAACGCCAGGCCGCATGTCGCGCAAGTGGTCAGGGATACCATACAGCAACTTGCGTGGGAGACTTTGTGCCATCCACCTTATTCACCTGACCTTGCGCCATCCAATTATCACCTCTTCCACTCCCTGGATAATCATCTTCGTGGGAAATCACCAATGAAGCAGACTTGAGCAAAGCCCTCACGGACTTCTTTGCGTCACCCCCCCCCCGAGTTCTACCGCAAGCGCATTGAACAGCTGAAGACACGTTGGCAGAAGGTTCTGGATGCCGATGGCAATTACTTCTAAGACTAAATATAAGTTACACATACTGTGAAGCGTTTTCTTTCTTTTTTTCCTTTAAAAACGGACAGAACTTTTTAGGTTACCTTGTAACACTGTGTAAGAAAATTTTGATTTTTTTTGTCTTTAGTCAAAACTTATTATTTCCTAATTGCTTCTGTACAGCATGTTTGTGGAAATTATTTATTACAACGTTTTTTGGCTTGCTATGCTGAGCTGGACAACGATATTTTAAAACTAACCTATTTTCCATTATATTCAAGACTGATTCATCACGGAAGGAAAATGTTTCTAGAAGTTTCAGGAAATATCGAGAAGTTTCTAAAAGTCTTAAGAATTTCTAGAAAGTCCTGCTTACCAAGAATCGTATAATGAAAACATCATGCAAGACTATATTTGGGGGCTGATTTGTGGAATTATTTTACAGTATAATCAAAAATCGCAAAAAAACTACTCATTTTAATTTTTTTATAAATAATCTTCATAATAATCCTAGAATAAATAAAAATATATATATATATAATCATATATATATTTGTTCCATCTTTGAGCGAACGAGAATGTTCATATTCGCCAGTTATCTCAATGAGAATACCTAACTTTCAGAAACGTTATTTCCCTGGACACAAAAGCTACGTTTGAAGGAAATATTAAACATTTTTCATACTTTCTAGGCATAAACAAATCGGAAATAAGAGTTGCTACCCAAGCACAACAATCGTGTCAAACAGTGTAATATAAACACTAGAAATTATAGGATACTGATACGTATATTCCATGAGCACTGCTAACATACTAAAGAAAGCAATTCTCAATTCGTTTTATTCAGAAAAGCCTTTTCTATACGTCAGTTCTCAGGTAAAAGACTTTTTAAAGGACTGTATTAAGCAGCAAATCCAGATAAGAAATAATAGTAATTCTTACGCATCTTAATCATACAAACGGATATGGCTTTGAGTGTTTGTTTGTTTTTTCCTTCCTGGAAACACCATCAGTCATCTGCTTGTCCACTTCCTGCTATTGATTCAATCAGCTTTCAATTCGTGGTAAATTCAGTTAATTTAATTATTATTACAACTGAACATTTTCCTTTCCTTCTTAATGCAACAGAAATGCATATTTACGAAAAGAAAATTCAATAAATTCCTTCCACCCAACAAATTAATATATTCAATATTCATAACTCGACTGTTAATTAGTCTTCTCATAAGGAAGCTGATATCGTTAAACATGAAAAGGAAGCGACCAGGGATGAAAGCAGTTCACCTATTTAATGATAGGTTGAACTGATAACGTTACTACTCTTTTTCACCTCCTTCTCTCTTTATTACATGAGGATGCATTGTCTTTGAGAAACATTCTTGGACGTTTAATAACAGGAAAACGATGGCTTTTTTTTTTCATCATTGTAATAACTCTCAATGCCCGTGTTCTTACACCGCAGTATCTTCAATTAACAATTACTGTTTTTTTTTAATGCCTCATCGGTTCCGGACAGAGACAATTATGGCTTGCCACGGTTTTAATCTCATTCATATTTGGGAATTGCCAGTGCTTCATAGAAAAGATAATTTTTCTTTTTTCCTCGTTGCCTTTTTCCACAGTTTTAAATCGCCTTTTCTGAGTTAGAACACCCAGCCTGAGCTGCTATTTAAACCATAGCAGAGATAGAGAATTTTTGTCATGGCTTTAATTCTTCTTTTTAATAGACTTTCACTGAACACGAACTCGTCTTTCTGATTTCCTTTTTCCTTTTTGAAAACATTTCTGCTCCAATCACCTATAAGTTTCTTTGTTTTTTTCGGTCAAGTTTCTGCTCTGACATTTTTCTTAGTTTCTATCCCGACAACGGTCACGGTCTATCAAGTTAGGAAGCTCATTAGGAAAGCATTATGTGTCATAACTGATCAGTATAGGTAGTTGTTGGGTGACCAACTCGTAACGACCATCATTTTCTTCTATTCATCAACAAACGAGGAAGAAAAGGTGACAGATTTCTATCAATGCCTCTCTTCTCCTGTCACATTAGTACCAAACTATAATTTCCTGATTATTGGTGGGTATAGGAACCCTCAGCTTGGTTTCAATGATGTACACAAATTTGCATATAAGACGTTCTTTAACAGAAATGGGGTCTTCCTCGAATATTTTTATACAGGAAAAAAATGCCTAACCAACAAATATGATTGGTCTATTCGAACAACAGTCATCTCAAAGAGCAGTACGCCATTGCTGTCAGAAATACGTTTGAAACATTACAAACAGGTGCCGAGGAACCATCTCCTAATAAAACGTACAATAATTGTATCACTTCACATGAAAAGGCTGCAAGTGCTTAAACCTAAACATCAGCAACAGATTCCTTGCGAATCAAATAGAATTAATCACAAATGGCTAATTCTTTCTATTTTCGACTTTTCCATAAGAAATTTTCAAATTATCTATCTTAAATTCTTTCCAATCTTCAATGGAGCTTTAATATTAAACTCAAGAATTCTTAATAAGCTCAATACATAGATGAAAAAATTCGTCTTATCAACTCTGCTTTTGCCAACAAACAATCTGCTCTTGCTTAGAAAACTGTCAATGAGATCAGTGGCAGAAAATAAACAAACGAATCCAAGTTAAAGGCCAATAGTCAGGTTATGGGTCACTACGCTACCTTATTTATTATTAATTCATTCTTTCTGGTAGTCCTCTTGAGCAATGATCTCTTAAGAACCACAACACCATATTATCGATGCTGCTGTTTCTGAATAGAGAGAATAACTACCTTGATTAGCGCCACTCTCCACAGCCCATATTAAGCACTAGTATATTTGTGATAAGTGAGAAAATGCTAAGTATTTTTTTTATATACAAGAACAAATTTAGGAAAAATAATGACAAACTGTAAAAAGAAATTCGTGTAACATACTTCGTCCTTTAGGACGTCATCGGACTAAAGTGATGTTTACGTTGATGTAATAATTTATTAGTATTATTATTATTATTGTTATTATTATTATTATTATTATTACTGTTACTATTTATATTATTATTATTATTAATTTATTTATTTATTTAATGTAACAAAACAACGAAGGTGAGCAGACGCGGAACTTTTAAACTGGCATCAAAGAATAAAATTATTATTATTATTATCATTTTATTTTATTATTATTACTAACATTATTATTATTATTATTATTATTACTATTATTATTATTACTATTATTATTATAATATTTATTATTAATTAATTTATTTATTTAATATAACAAAACGACGACACGAAGGTGAGCAGACGCGAAACTTTTAAACTGGTATCTGAGGATAAAATTATTCTCATTATTATTATTATTATTATTATTATTATTTATTTATTTATTTAATGTAACAAAAAAAAACGACACGAACGTCAGAAGACACGGAACTTTTAAACTGGTATCAGTGAATAAAATTATTGTACAATTTATCGTAACCTGTATGTCCCACCTTTTTTTTCTTTTTTCAAATAATTTGCCGTACTTTTCTTACCTGTAATATGTTCAACATCTAACGTATGGGTCGATTAAGTAAACTGAATTATTTATTAATACAATTTAAACCTGCTCTTCTAACTCTTAACGCCGTCTTAATTAAAAAGCGCGAAAAATATGTTCAATAAATTCCCCGCCCTAAAATGATTATATTCAATTTTTCTTCGCTTCTGATCCATTTGAAAGTCTTTCGACCATATCATATCGAAACTTTGGTTTCCATACGATCACCGAAGTTAAGCAACGCCGAGCCTTGTCTGTACTTAGATGGATAAGCGCATGGGAATGCCAAGTGCAGTAAGCTTGAATTGTGTAGGCAGTGTCGATAATCGCTTGAAATTTGAAATCAAATAGCTGAATTTCATTTCCAGTAGGGTTCGTTATATTCACTTACGTACAAATATCCTCGAGAAAGTTTTAAATCTACGCCTTCTCCTCCCACCTCTGGATTAATTAGTACGACTTGTATCAATAAATTATTATTATCTCCAAAAAATTCTTATGATCTAAAACGTTCAGTAACCTGCAAAGTATTGTTAAACTGTAAAAAGAAACAAATCAAAAAATATTTTCATGACAATTGTTTTGTTCAGTTGTCCTCCTTGATACCTCGACTACATGAATTTAAGTGGGCTGCTTGATTGGCAGTTAGGTCTCACCGTTTCATTGTTGAACAAGCTAGATGCAACCATATGTTATATTCTAATAGTTTCATTCCTTACACTTCATGCTTGTGGAAATCCTTCCCGATTTCTTGATTCTCTTTCAAAAATGTAAACTGAGCAGTACTAATTATGAACAAGACTATGTTGCAGTTTTAGGGGTATTATCTACTAGTGAGTTAGCCCAAATGACTTGACTCACTTTATAGTCCACCAATAGAATGTTAACCAATCAGAAGACGTAGAATATTCAATCCGTCGTGTATAAAGGCGGCCAGTTTGTTTACTCTATCCGAATGTCCCGTGCCAGCTTGTCAGGCGAAGAGGAACACAAGGAAGAACTACGCTCTGCTATTTTAAATATCCTCCTCACCTGAAATACGCTTCACTACTGTCTTCGAAATATTCACTTCTTTTCCCTCTGGATTCTATACTCAAAGATGACCGTCATCATAAACAACAGACTAATCGTCTGTAGCCATGGAAAGACAACCATCTATCAGGTTGTCACACATCAAATGACGCATTTTTTTTTGGTTGGTTTTTGATCCGGTCGTCTAACGAAGTAACATCCTTAGAATCTAATAAAAACTTAATCCTGGCTCTTTTTCTTTCCAGATCATTTTTCTTTCAATATGTTGTTATTCAGAAGCCCAATGAAAATGATTATAATGAAACAATATCGCGTAATAAGAACTATTTTTTGCATCGAATAATTTCATGTGATAAGAAATGTATACTCTTTTCAAACAGTCAGAGAGTAGGTAGGTGAACTGCCAAAACAATGCCAAAAACCTCTACTGCACCCTAAAAAGTTAATGGTTATTGTATGGTGGTTTTTCAAAGGAGCTATTCATTATTCATTCTTACCTCAAGGGAAAACAATAAGAGCGAGCTCGTATTGTGGAGAAATTGTGTGTATGCACAAAAAATTGTAAGAGAAACATACTAGACTTGTGAATAAGGAGGACCCAATTTTGCTGCATGGCAACGCACGATTGCACGCTTCTCAATCAACTGTCCAAAAGCTACATAGCCTGAATTATGAAATTTTGCCTCATCTTGCACATTCACCTGATATCTCTCTTCCTGATTATCACTTATTTAAGATTTTCATACGCAATAAAACATTCTCCAATAAGGAAGACGTAATCGAAGCATTTGAAATGTTTATCACATCAAAAGATGATGATTTTTTTAACGATGGGATCAAGAATTTAGAGTTACGTAGGAGAACATCATTCATTAATATAGCGCCTATTTCACCTAAATAAATCAGTTACTTAACATTTCAACTTTTTATTCATTTCCTATAAAGTGCGTCATTTAATGTGTCATTACCAAATACCTCCGAAAATTATATAAAGGATTTTTCGAAATTCATTGAAAGTTACTCAGATCGAGAGATACGTGAAAAAAGCCTGTGATTATAAAAGCTGACAATTTGGGAGAACAATAACGAAGAGGAGTTTAGTCCGAATATAAATAATATAATTTAGAACCTGCGCAAAATTAAATAGAAAGAATAAAAAAGAGGTGATCATCATCATATGTCGACCGCAGTCGAGATCATAGAACCCAAAACAGTACGCCAGACTTCCCGGTCCTTCATTGATATCCCCAATTCCCGCCTATCAATGCCTGCATCCCTTGTGATGAAGTCAGGGAATCATAGTTTTCTGCCCCTTTTTTCAGGTTTGACGCAGACTTCCAGAGTAGGAGAGAGAAAGCAACCTCATTCTCGGCGGCACGGTGGCAGTGGCTTCAAACTGCGCTTGCCAAGATCGTATGAGAGAGGAAACACGGGGAAGAATTCCGTAGATTTGAGGGATGGTCAGATGGCGTTTCGAAGAGAGGTTTTGAGCTTTCATCAGAAGACGTGTGTAGGTCCCATCCAGTAGTTTCTCCATATGATTAGAGAATGTCCATATACCTGAGCCATAAAGTAGATTCGGCTATACAGCGGCTCTGAATATTTTGATTTTGAGTTTTCTGTCCAGTTGTGATAAGAGAGGTGAATGAAGATGTGCATGTCGAAATATCTTTACTTAGGTTCCAATGTGTGAAGTTCAGACGAAAGATTGTCCGAGGCTTGTATCTGAGAAGAGTTATTATTCTGCTGCTTTGGTAGAATCATTAGATAGTTCTGTTTGGTGTTAAGTTAGCTTAAGATAGTGTACAGTCTTCTGTGTTACGTATAGTATGATATGAAGACTAAGAGTTTCCTCAGATTGAAACCAGAATCACGTTACCTTTATAGCATCCTGTAGATGGCTATGTGTGAAGTTTCTATGAATGATTATCAGCGGTTTACATTCGAAGAGTTGTTAATCTATTGGCTGGGTAGAATTATCAGATAAGCTTGTGCGTGGTTAAGTTAGCTTAAAGCATTTTATGCTACTCTTATTCTCAATGTTTCGTACAACATGAAATTCGCTGCAAGCTGAAAGCCCCCACCACACCCCGCACCAATCCAGAGGGAAACCAGCCATGTTTTATCTCTAAACCAGCCTTCAGCTAAAAGAAAGAGAATGAGACTTTAGTGCCCTTTTCTTTTATACTATTTTAGCAAAGCCATCTGTCGATTGTTAGCTGAATTTCCTTAGTAGGAAAATCCCAAGAAATTAGGAGCAAAAAGGAAACATTACTTACAATTAGAAACAGGTTTACTATTTATATGTTATATCGAAGGCAAGAGAAGCAACTGGGAACAAAAGAATCTATTTAAAGTTTATGTGCAAATAAATGGGCATAGATTAAAATTTACTGAGAGCAACAAAAGGCATGAAATTGGAGAAAGCTATGATCGCTTATGTTCTGAAGTGAGGTTGCCTATAAATCAAGAAGGTAGTAAATTACATTGAAAGCTGTTTTAATAGTCAAAAAGTTGGCTTCAAATATTTTCACACAATAATATTCCATAGATTTATTGAATAATTTTGTTTTCTCGCTTCCTCTCTTAATTTTATCCGATACGTTGCTTGTACAAATGCTGCCTATAATATGATCAACCTCTTCGAATTTGTCGAGCAATTCAGTTAATTTTATTATTTATGACTGCAATAGAATATTTGCCGAGATTTTTACAGTGGTGCTAATTTACATTTACGAATGGAAAATTCAATAAAAAATCTCTGTAACAGGAAAAATATTATTTTAAAATATTCCTGATTCACACCGTTAATCAGAATGTCACTAATGAAGCTGATATCACTTAGGATCGAGAACTGCAAGTGAAAAATGAAAGGCGTTCGTTCATTTGATTATTACGGAAAGTGAGAATGTGTTCTTTCTTTTTCGCTTCGTTTTAATTTTTATTACTCCGCTTACTTGCATTGATATGCTTGAAATTTCTTTCATGTCGACGGAACGTTCGGGTCCTTTTGACAATTGTAATAATTGCAACATTCTCGAATCGCTTGGATCCTCATAATTTCTTTGAGATGAGTTTATGCTTTGTAACGCAACTTGTCTTTTTCGATGGGAAGAATATATATATATATATATATATATATATATATATATATATATATACTATTCATATATATATCCATTCTATATGAGAATGAATATAAACATATATATATATATAACATATATATATTCATTCTCATCGAAAAGACAAGTTGAGCGCCAAACGCATATATATATATAATAGCTCGCCACTCCTATTTGAGGATGCCAATCTACTAGGGCAAGCCAATTCCTATTGCAGACGCGCACTCAGGCATATTTGTGTTTGCTCAACACCCACATAGCCCACCTGTGGTGTATACGGCAACTAGCTAGCGCAGCTATCGACGGGTCCCAAAAGTTCCGTCTATTTTGGAATTTTCCAAAAGTGACGTACGCTGGGATCGACCATGGTGATCACTACAACTTCCATGTTGACATTCGAACACAGGTCTCATGGTCAGAAAGCGAACGTCCTAACCACTCGGCCACGTGCCATACATCGTGTGCTATAATATCTTTAGATAGAAGAATTATTCACCTTCAAGGCGAAAGTGGTCATATCTTTCTACAACTTCCTTTGGAGCTCAAAAGTTTGACGATCTGTGTATGACGATAAACTAAATCCAGCAGCAAGACCTCTGGTCAGGAGGTTTTGAGTGACCTGGATCCACTTCTTACTTGATGGTCTTCCCAGCTCCAAACTGGGGTTAAAACACAATGTAAGTGTAAAAATACGTTTTAATACCAGCAATACATTTTTGAAAAAAAAGTCTTACCAGAAATATACTTTTGAAAAAAAATATTACCAGCAACACATTTTTGAAAAAAAAAATTACCTGTAATACATTTTCGAAAAAAAAATATTAGCAATACATTTTAAAAAACAAAAATATTAACAGCAATACATTTTTGAAAAAAATATTAGCAGCAATACATTTTTGAAAAAAAATTCTTACCAGAAATATACTTTTGAAAAAAAAATTAACCAAAACATTTTCAAAAAATATTTGCAATAATATTTTTTCGAAAAAAATTTTATTTTTATTTTTCGAAAAAAATGCGTAAATTAATACATTTTGAAAAAAAATTCATTTCCTGGAATACATTTTCGAAAAAAAATATTTGCAACAATACATTTTCGAAAAAAAATATTTGCAGCAATACATTTTTGAAAACAATATTAG